CATACTGGAACATGTAGACCATGTAGTTCAGATCAATGAAGGGGTCATTGATGGCAACAATTTCCACTTTGCCAGAATTGAAAGCAGCCCTGATGACCAGACACCCAATGCAGCTGAATCCGTTCACTCCGACCTTCACCATTGTGTCTCCGGGATGCATCTGGGTCTGCACAGGAATGGGAGAGGCGGCTGTCTGTCTCACGAGGAGGAGCAGAGAGCCTAGGTTTCATTTATTTGAAAGTAATTTACCCCAACTTAAAGACAGATTACCCTATGGGTTAGAGCTATGTACAAAAACGTTATTGAATTTTCCTTGGTTTTACAATGATAAATGAAAAACATTAAAATAGTCCAATAGAACAAGGTATACAAGGGTTTTTTATGTTGTTTTTGTTTTTGTTCAATAGTAGGAGAAAAGCACCTTACTGGAATAAAGGAAAGAGTTCATAAAGATTCCACTAATGAAGGGGGTGTTACCATAGAATCAGTATCTTCCCCATCCCATATCCACTTGATGTTGATCAAAATATACCATTGGCCATTGAGTGAAAAAACAAAGGAGAAGAATTCAATATGCTTGTGCACATGCACCAGTTGTTTTATGTACAATAAAGGAATACAGAATTGGAAAATGAAAGAATAAACTATAATGTAGTCATCAGGATATGGTGAACCCAAATTGTGGTTTCCTAATTGAGAATGGAAAATTGGTCAGTAGGAACAGAGTTCTGCGGGAAAGTAGCAGGCAAGACACCTTTCAGAAGACACCTCCTACCTGCTGCTCGAGCACATCAACTGTATCTTCATCCTCCATTTCCACCTGTGCAGGTGTCTGTTTCATTGACTGGCTGCCTGTCAAATCAGAATCTGATCTGCCTCCTTGAAAAACTTTGTCATTCACAATAGGCTTTCTTCAGTTTACTAAGTGGCATATGCCTCTTAATCTTAAACTGCATCACAGAACCATTCTGCCCTGCCACTTTCAAATTAATATTATCATTGTTCTCAGTCTTGATTCCTTCCTTAGGTTTCTCGTGGACTATGGAGAGTGCTGGAGGCTCCTCAGCTGGCACATCACAAAAGAGGTAGAAGGTCTGCATCAAACCAGCACGCAAGCAGCACCAGGGGCAGCAAAAGGAGGCAGCAGTGGTACACAATCAATTTAAGTAAGCTCTCTTCATTTTTGTGCTCATAATTATAAGCTCCTCATTTCCTCCTAACATCCCCTGTCATAATCCTAGGAAACAACCCAGTTACTGTCTCTATAGATTTGCACACTTGAGAGTTCATGCAAAGAAAAAGATCCCCCCGCCCCATGAAATAAAATAGAGAAAATCCTCAATAGAAAAGAGAAAGAAATAAAAATAGAGTAAATTTAAAATTTATAAAATGGAGAACAAAAGACAAGGCATTAAATTTTAACTTAATTGCATCAATATTTATCTACTTTTCAGTATTCTCTGTCTGATAATAAGGCTATTCACATCCCTGATCAATGGTCACAGGGGATGCTGAAGTCATGTGTCGACCCTGGAAATAGATTTTGGACTTTCACTGTCATCCATAGCCTTCTGCAAACTCAGAATGTGCCCAGAATTTAACCTATAATATAGTTTCCCTCCTCCAGTCTTTGATTTTATTGTTTACAATTCTTGGATTACACTGGCTGGTATAATTCTTCCTGAGGACTTAGCTGACACTCACCTAGATGGCTGCTTTTGTTAAGACAAGATTTTTAGACCTCAGATGCTCTTTTTCCAATACCCAGGTGTGTTAGACAGGGTTCTCTAGAGAGACAAAACCAGATTGCTAATAATTATATATGTATATATATATTTATACATATATATATAACATAAGAAATAAACAGTTAATTAAATTATAAAGCAGTACAAATGGCTCAGTGCAACTCACTCCCATGAGACAATTGTAAGACACTGGTAGTCCTTCAAGTCTTGAGAGCTGCCAGGTAGTCTTCTTTAGAGCAATTTAGGCTATCCAGGCACAGGCAGCAAACAGCAAGGCAGGTCACCAACAGTCAGCCAGATGACAGGGTCTGACAGTCCCCAGCTCAAGAGATGTAAATTCCAATGGTGTGGCGAAGCAGGTCTTGAAGGAGCCTCAAATTACAGTGACCCAGTTCACGGGTTAGGTGTCCCACAGGTAGTGTAGCTTGCAAATTGAGGCACAGAACAAGCGAGGCAGCTGCACACTGGTCCGATGATCAAAGAGCATGATACAAGAAAAGCAAAGCTCGCTGAGCCATTTATCTCTCTGCCCTTTAATTAATCCCACATGTGTTTATCAACCAGGTTGGCCCAATAAACTAACTACCTCACCAGGCACTATCTTATTTCTTCACCAACCTTCATTATAACACCCATCTCTTCATAACTGCAAATGTCAAATAGGACTATATCTTAAGAACTAATTTGTTTTAGATTAGGACTTATTATTAAGTATGAATTCAAAATCCATTTCTTTTTTTTCAAAATTCATTTCTATATCTATGATTTATATATGTCCCTGTTCCACTTCAGAAACATCATTATCATTTTATTGAGGTGTGGTAGTTATGTAAGTTTATGTCAACTTGAAGATATATGAAAGTGTAGGAGTGATATCCAACTTATCCATCAGGTCACCTTCTGATGGTGCCTCTTGGGGAACCATCTTTTCTCTCTCTGCCTTGACTCTCCTGTTTGATGGCCACCGTAAGAGCTGCCTGAGGCCTGCCATGTTTCCACTGACCTTGGATCCACACTATCCTGCACCCACCGGTCTGTGATATTCCTGCATTCTGCTTCATTGCATGTGAATGCATGAGTCTGAATGGGGACTTATGGACTTGAGTTGTACTGGGCTGGGGGGATGCTTTCTTGATATAGAATTACTTCTTGATATAAAGCCGTTTTTCACACATATATGAGGGTCAGTGGGTGTGTTTCTCTAGTCAACCTGGCTAATAATACATGGGGAATGTTATAAATCATCCCCAATGAGGCATATGGTAATTTTATTGATAGTATCATTAATTTAGTCTGTGTTTATTTGTTGGGCTGCTAACCACAAGGTCCATATTTGAAAACCAACATCTACTTTGTCTTACACTAGGGAATTTCAGTCTTAATTCCAAGAGAGTATTTCAGTTCCTTTAATCGACTACAGGTTTATTATAAGTATAGTTTGCCTAATGGGCTTTAAAAATCAGATCGTTCTGGTTTGGCCTATGGAGGATGTTGTATACCTCAAAAGGACAAAATCTAAAGTCCTGGCAGTTTATAACACTTGGAATCAGCAGGGCTGTATAGAAACTAGGTCAAAAGTGTTTGATTAGGAACATAATACAGGCCACATTCTCCCATTAGGGATCTATATAATTAATGTTAAGTGTTTTTCCCAGTGCTGCCACCACTGAGTTTGTCCACCAAGAGAAGTGAAGTAACCTTCTCTGGGATACAGCTCTCCCCGACTTCTAGGCTAGAATTTTCATTACATTTCACTGACCACCTCTGTAACATTGTTTGTTGAATTGTTGTTACAGGTGTGACTCTGTACCGATGCTATATGGAAGAAACTGACCTCTTCCTCTCCCCCCAACATGTGAAACTGACTCCAGCTGAGGTAAGGCCTCCACTTATGAAGTGGTTTTTAAGATGTACCAATAAGGCGGTGCTATATGGATCATGAACATTAGACCAGAAACTGATCTTCAATAAAGGATCAATAAATATCAAATGGGAAAGAAAGAGCCCCTACAACAAATGGTGTTTGCAAAATTCGATCTCCATCTTCAGAAGATGAGTCCTATTTCATTCTTCTAAAGAGCCTTTGTTAGATCAGTTGCTTAATGGTGGATGGATTTATTTCTTGGTTTCTAGTAATGTTCTCTTAGTCTACGTATCGACCATTATATTAGCACCAGGCTGTTTAACTACTGAAGCTAGGTAATATGTTTCGAGGCCAGGTAGAGCAAGGCCTCCTACTTTGCTCTTCCCCTTAAGGAATTCTTTGCTTATTTCTCCCTATGAAGTTTATAATGAGGTTTACATTTATTTAAAAAATGAAGCTGGGATTTGGATTAGAATGGCATTGTATTTATAGAATTATTTAGGTAGTAGTGACATCATTAAAATATTAAGCCTCTTAATCCATGGGATATTCTTCTATTTGCATACTTCTCTTTTGGTTTCATTTATTAGCAATTTGTAGTTTTCTTTCTACAGGTTTTTAATTTGGTTAGGCGTATTCCTAAGGATTTCATCTTTTGAGTGGCTATTGTAAATGGTACTGTTTTCTTGAATTTTTCCCCACAGAATATACAGGGATCCAAGTGATATCTGCTTTTTAATCTTGTATACCAATATGTTTCCACATCCTTCAATGTTTTCCAACATTCATTTTGCAGAGCCTTTGGGGTTTTCTACATACAAAATTATATATTTTTAAATAATAAAATCCAAATTCAAATGAGGGATGGCATTAAAGCTTAAGCTCTGAAGACCCAGTTTTCAGAAGTCTGTGGATGATAGTTGAATCCCAAAATCAATTTGGAGGGCCCCCACTCAGATTAACCCTCCATTGGCTATCCTGTGACCATAGTCCAGAGATGTGAATAGGCTTGTTAACACACAGAGAATATTGTAAAGTTGATTATGGCAAATGTAGTTTAAAATATAACACCTTATGATTTGATTTTCCTTTTGAAACATTTTAAAATTATTTCATTTTTTAATATTTTCTGCTTTTCTCTTTTGTTTTGTCATTATATTTTTGGTTGGTTATTTCCTACTTGCATTTTGTATGATTTTCTGTATATGAAATCCAAGATAGGTAAAGCCACAGAGACAATAACTGAATTAATAATGAGCTAGGGGCAAGATACGGGAGATTGGATGGAAAATGGGAGCTAACAACAATGAGTATGAGAAAGAAGAAAATGTTTGAAATTGATTTTAGTGATGCTTTCATAACCTCTCTTAATAAGGTTGAGCTATTAAATTTTATGATATGTGAATGATATGCTAATAAAACTTTTAAAATTATAACTTAAAATTGTGTTTCATTTCCTTTCTCAATTTCAGTCTCTTAATTTCTTTTTGTTGTCTAATAATCCTGACTAACACTTCTATCATGATGTTGAATAAGAACGCTGATAGACATCCTTGTCTGGTTCTAGTTCTCAGGGGAAATGTTTTTAGTTTTTCTTCATTAAGCATGATTTTGGCTGCTGGTTTTTCATATAAGGATTTTCTTCTATTCCTATTTTCTTGACTGTTTTAATGAGCAATTTGTTTTGGATAATGACAAATTCATTTTCTGACATGAGAAAATCATGTCATTCTAATTTTTTATTTTGTTTATGTGATGTATTACATTGGTTATTTTTCTAATGATGAACCATCCTTGAATCCCTGGTATGAATCTCACTTGGACCAGCTGAATGTTTTTTTTATATAGGTCATTGGATTTTATTGGCGAGGATTTGTTGATAGCTTTTGCATCTATATTAGTAAGGAACATTGATCTATAATTTTATATTGTAGGGATTTTCCCTGGTGGAGTTTCAGGGTTATAGTCAATTTTTCATGAAATTAGTTTGAGAGTTTCCTGTTGTTTTTTATATTCTGGAATAGTCTATGTAAAATCAGTGGCAGGTATTTTCTGAATACTTGGTAGAATATCCCTGTGAAGCCATCTAGTCCTGGACTTTTCTTGGTTAGAAATTTCTCGATGACCTTCTTTATTTATTCTTTTGTTATGGGTCTGTTCAAGTTTTGTACATCGATCTGCATTAATTTGGGTAAATGGCGTATGAGGGGATACATCACATGGAAAAATAACATGGCAAAATGTTCTACTGGGTGGAGCTTTCGTAGTACACATTTTTTTCCCCCACAATGTGTGTGTCCAGCAACTCCCTCTGATTTAGTACATCCAGGTTCTCTGGTCACAGTGAATATTTTTGCGTGTGTGAAAATAGTTTTGCTCAAACTTTGTTTTTGTTATGGCTGGTTTAAAAGAACAGCTTGCAGCTGTAAAATTTTGTTTCCTGCCTGGGAAAAATACCCCAGAAACTGCTGTGATGTTGAATACCGCG